AGTTATTTTAAACATCCTGTGATTTGCAATAGAAACAATTTATTTTAAAATTTTAAAATAGACACAATTATAATGAACTTATGAAAGATGATAATTATTGATAATACTCAATATTTAAGTTACCTCTGTTCTTGACAGAGTTATTCCTGAATTGGTCCATCCAAACAGCGACTTGAGAACACTACTTGCTCTGTGAAAATATAAAAGTATATTTATAATGAAATTACATTATTAAAAGAATTACTATGTTTTCTTTCTTTTTAATATTTCCTTGTCAGTTCTAAGTTAATTTTTATTTTTAGAATTGAATTTAAATTATTTTGATTTAAATTTCTTTAAAGAACTGAGGGGAAAAAATTAAATTACGAATTTATTCACTAAAACATTGTATACCTCAAAAAGCTCCTACTGGTATTGTGATAAAACATATAGTGATATAGAGCCATATATTATAATTAAAGATAACATTTTAACTTAAAGTTTTCATTACAGATTTACTGAAATACTAGACAACTTATTATTTTTTAATTAAAAAAACATCTTGTAAATATGAAGATAGAAATATAATGACATGAATAGACTTGTAGAAAATCTACCCATTGGTAGAATATAGAAATTAAAGACAATTTAGTAGTAATTAAATATACCTGTTAACTTCTTTTCTGAAGTTATATCATTAAAATATATACATGTATCAAACTAAAGTTTTATGTTTCTAAATTTGATTATTTTAAAATAAATACTTACATATTTAATTATGAATAATTAAAGTAGTTAGCTTGCACATCCGATTAGTCCGTCAACTATAATTGCCAACTTAAGAAAAAAATAAGTGTTCATAAACCGAATTCTTATATACAATATTTTAATTTTTTATATAAAACTACTGAATTGAGTAGTATTTTTTTTATTTTATATTATTTCAGTTATAATAATTTTTATACTGGTTATTTCATAAACTTGATGACTCATATATAATATTAAAGCTACACCAGTATAAAAATAATTGAATATTAAGTCAAATAGTTAAAGATAAGGGAACAAAATGTTTTTAATAAGTATAATTTTTTATTAGATTGTATCTTATTAGTCTTTGTTTTATTATAGTCCAAACAATTTTCGGCGGTATATGCGTTGAACCTTTGAATTTGGCGGTATAAATTTTTTTTAAAATATTTCTTTTTTGTTTAAACTAGATGAAGTAATTATTTATATTATATTATGGCAGTCCAATTGTATTTGAGCTTCTCGATATTTAGGTAAGTGTGTGGGTGAAACTGGGCACTAGTGGATCCAGGATTTATTTTTGGGGGGGCTTCAGCCCGAAAGTGGTTTTTTTCATAAAAATAACGATAATTACTTTGGAAAAAAAGAAAGAAACTAACTATCTATATGAAATGGTGTTTAAGTGATTCCTAAAGCCCTTTTAGATGTAATTACACGAACAATAATACTTTAAGAGATTTTTTTTTTTTTGTTCTTCCCAACCTCGCCGTTTAGGCTATACGGGATTTTCCCGGGCCGGAGGAGGGTGGGGGAGGGGAATTTAAAATCCCCTCTGGCACCGGGATGCGAACTCGTACTTTTCTTGTCTCTCAAATCTTCATATATCTGGTTGCCAGGCGACTCGCGGTGCAGTGCACACGCTTTAGCCTATTCGGCCACCCCGCCCCATTACTTTAAGAGATACTTTTTTAATATTGTTTTCGATACAACATGGTTATATTTTACCATTTTGGGGTGGGGAGCTTCAGCCCGAAAGCTCCCTCTCCCCCCCCCCCGTAGATCCGCCCGTGAAACTGGGTACTGAAAAAAAATACTTTTACATCAAAACCTTGGTGAACCTTCCATACTTTGAAAGTTTTTTATTTTCTCGTTGTGCGCATTTAACTGCACATTGTACATTTTTTCTGTTTTTTATTTATATAATCAGTGATAGTGCTTTTCATAGAAAAAAAAAATTGAACTTTGTCTTCCATAAAACAGACGTCCAATGAAAACATTCCCAGAATTCGAACAACTTAAAGCAGAGAACTTCTACGTCAGGGGTTCCAAGAACTTCCAATCCGGCTAACGAAAGTTCGTCTTTTGGGCTGAAGCCTTCTCCAAAATGGTAAAATATAACCATGTTTTATCGAAAAAATTTAAAAAAATTATCTCTTAAAGTATTATTGTTCGAGCAATTACATTTAAAAGGGCTTTAGGAATCACTTAAACATCATTTCATATAGGTAGTTAGTTTCTTTCTTTTTTTCCAAAGTAGTTATCGTTATTTTTTAAAAAAAAAGGTTTTGGGCTGAAGGCCCCCCAAAATTAAATCCTGGATCCGCTAGTGACATAGACCAAACCTAGTAATCGCTTGTAACCATTTTCGAATGTGTTTAGTCTGTTATTCTGTACTTACAATAAAAATTAGGAATCTTTCTAATTGCAGTGTTCGAAAGAATTTTGGCTAAGTTCACACGTTTAAACTTTTGTTTCATAGCATTAAGAACGCTTTCAGATAAACTAGGTGGTCCTAGGCTTGCTCAATCCGTCTAGTCCTGTCGGTTTGCAGCACGTCTTAAAGACATGTTAAACTTTCAGGGGTCATCTAAAGCGTTGTCCTTCCATGCACAGGCGGATCTACGGGGGGAGGGGGCTTTCGGGCTGAAGCCCCCCTCCCCTCCCAAATGATAAAATATAACCATGTTTTACAGATAAAAAATATTAAAAACTATCTCTTAAAGTATTCTTGTTCGTTTAATTACATTTAATAGAATTTCAGGAACCACTTAAACACCATTTCATATAGGTAGTTAATTTCTTTCTTTTTTTTCAAATTATTTTTATGAAGATTTATGAAAAAAAAATCTTTCGGGCTGAAGCCCCCCCCCCCAAATTAAATCCTGGATCCGCTAGTGTTCCATGTACTTCTTGGTCTCCTTCCAGCCTGCACTCCTTCCTTATAATCTTGGTATAACCTTTTGACGGTTCTACCATCATTCATTCCATTTTCTCTCACAGATTCTCGAGTGCGGCTTAATTGTTTACGTTCAAAGATGTCCACCTTCAAAGCTAATGATATTTGACGTATCCACGTCTCCCATGCAAATGTTGGGACTAGTCTTATTATTGTCTTAACTTGGTTGAGCGGCTTAATAATCTACTTCTCATGAGATGAGCTATCGAGAAAAAAAGCTCAATTAGCAGAGAAAATTCGTGCCTGGACGAACGCTTTCTACAAAAGAAATCCACCGTTCCAACTTATACAGATTGATTAAAGAATGAGCCGACCCTGATTCTGATCCGGCAAATTAAACATATCTACTTGACATACAAACAAGCGAAAATATCTACTTTCTCTTTCAAAAGTGGTCGATTCGAAATTAAAATCTACGTTAATATGGACAAAATGTACTAAGCTTTCGTAGGTTTATTTTTCCGCCATAAACGTCCTCCTATACCTAATGAGTTATCCGCATGCGGCATTTTTGTTGGTTGGATATATCCATCTGCCTTTTGTCTACCTTTGAGAGGCTTCCTGATGGATTGTTTCGATCTATAAATGTCCAGCTATCTGAACCTCCTTGCCTCTTGAGTTTTTTATCTTATGCTTTGATCGTCTTGAGCTCTTTTAGCCATGAGGCTTCTAGCAGCCCAGTAAATTTCACCTTCTGTCCTGGCTTTGTTTCTAATGTCCTGTAGTCCAGGATAAGTCCGTAGATACAGAGCAGTCATGAAACCTTGTAGAAACATTTGCCTCTTGATTGACTATTTTCTGTAAGCTGTTCTTTATTCGCTTGTCTCCATTATGTGTTAGGACTTTGATTCCAGGGCACTCCTGTTATCTTGCAACGGATTTTCACAATCAAGAATTGGAAAATCCGTCTGTTGGAAATCTTTCAATATAGATCTCGATTTTAAGCGCTTTTTCATAAAATAACTTGTAAATAGAATAAACATGTTACCTGTAACCCTGCCTGAGCTTTTATCAACATATCAGATTTGTAGAGAAGACATCGCTAAATATTGAGGGTTCATTTAAACAAAGAGATGAAGTACAACGATTTCTTCAATTGGATATCTTTCCAACTGTAAAGATTATTTCAATGTCTCTTTCGAAAAAGGCTTTAGTCCCAAAAAATAAAAATCAGCTATCAAAATCAATGATAAAGTAATCACGCATATGATATAAAAAAAAAAAAAAAAAAACCTGTACCACTACAACCCATGAAGGGGGGCTGGGGTTCAGTACTATTTAGGGAAAGCACTGTTTCTAGGTTGAGCAAAAAAGTCTGTTATATATACATAAAGTTTTGTATTCCAACAAGTGTGCCATAACTAAGTTTAAAAACTGCTGGTATAAGTAATAAAATCAAATATATAAGTGACACAGTGCCGGCCTTAGAATGGGGCAATTGCCTCATGGTGCCTGTCGAGGGGCCTTCGGCCGATCTTCAGTTGTAAAAATAAAAAATAAAGTTAAAAAATATATTAAAGTGATTGATTTTATCCTACCAATAGAGCAAGTGCACCAGAGAAATTCGGAACCCAATATTACATAATACAAAACAGCTTAAGAAATAAAGTAATTCTTTTTAGTGGTGGGGGGAGGGGAGATGATGTCAATGGCGGAGGGCGCCAAATATCTAAGAACGGCACTGATATGAACTCTGTACATAGACCTGTATTATGTTAAAAAAAAATGTTTTTAAGGATTCGAAGATAGTCGACTGTTCTACAAATCATGGGTGATAAATAGTCAGGACAGTCATTTTAAGATTTTTATTTTAAGAATAAAAACCTTAGACTGATTGTATTTTTACTATTAATTACCCATGCTTATTACAATTCATAAATAAAGTAATTAAATAATTAATATTCCTTAGATCTTTCATAGTTTTTGAAGGCCGATTAGCCAAAAAATCAAATTATTCCAAAAAAGGACTTGTGATTTGTTTGGTTAATCGACACTCAACAGTAATAAAACAAAAATTGCTTCAGGGAATGAATAGCAATTAAATTTTATGAAAAGATTCATTTTTTTATTTCAACATTCATTCATAAAGAAACTCTTCACAAGACAACCTGACATACTTAATCATTTACCAATTGTACAGTATTGAAATGAACTGTGACATATTGAACACCTATTATAGTAACTGTGTTGTTTTTCTTAATTTATTTTTTTTTTGTTTTGTTTTTTTAATTTTTTTAATGTCCTAAAGTCGCAAGCTCTTATTTTCTAAATATCGTTTAAAAAACTTAAATTTAATTAAATATTAATGATTATCAATAGTCAACGTAAAAACCAAAACGAGAAACAACACAGCTACAAATTTACATGAATATTTAAAAATGATTAACAAAATTATAGAGATCAAACAATAATGGCTGGAAAAGGAGCCATAGCGATGTTAGGAACACCTCCTTGATCGCTATACTAAGGGATATAGTCATCAACATATATATGATAATTAATTCATATTGTATAAATAACACTTACAATTAGAAAATCATACATAATGTGAAAATTCATTAACAGTGTCTTTTTTTTGTGAGTTTTCCCCTTTTTGAAAAAGAGATAAGAGAGCTCTTGAACTGTCATTGAATTTTTTATTCTGATATTAATTTTTTAAAACTCTAAAATGTCGTGGAAAGGTGGGCACTTAGGTTAGATTGTTAAGTAGGGAAAACTCGATTATAAAAGTATAGAAAATGTTTCCTACCAAAATTAACACCACACAGAACTAATTAAATTGAGATAGGGATCGGGGGAGGAGTTCAGTTTAATACTATATTAAGAGCACTTACATCTTTTTTCTTTTTTTTTTTTTTAAATAACCTCTGGAAGATTAGTTATGTACAATCTATATATGACAGATGTGTACAAAAGATATGCTTACCTAAAATAAACAAATTTTTTTCTCATAAATATTTGAAAATATAATAATCGATTGTACTGACGGACCTGTTTCAAAATAGTAAAGTTTTAGAAAATATTGGTAAGTTAATATTTTATTTGAGATTAAAAGAAAAGAAAAAAAAAACGAAATAAAAATAAAGAACCCAATAAGACTTTAAATTTTTTTAACCATACCTAAAATTTTCGAAACTGTAAAATCTCTAAATAAAATTTTAACTTTCCAAAATTACCCATTGTCTACCCCCTAAATCTGATAAGCATGAAAGATGATATCTATTTTTTTAATTTTTATTTTTTTTAAATACATAAAAAATACTTAAAAAAAAATTAAATAAAGAACATTCAAACTATAAACCTATCGAATAATTTTTATTTTTTTTTGGTTTTTCATATATATTTTTTTTTTGAGATTTACAAATATAATGTCAAATATATCATCTATTCATAGGTCTAGTCGTAAGGTATTAAAATAAATATGTTACTAAAATTGCTATATATATCCCTCCTTGATATTAAATTAGCTCATTAATACAAATATTTCTAGAATAAAAAAAAGATATAATAAAATTAAATATAACATTTACAAGCTAATGTAATAACATTTGAGATATATATCTAACTGCCGCATTTAACTAACGAGCACTCTAATCTATTTTCCATATTTATACCTATGTACGAAATCGAATGAACTTCACTTACTTTTCAAATATTTGAAAAGGTTTTTATATTTACTATAATTGCGGCTTATAGTAGAACACATTTATTCTACATACTACGTATTATATATATACATATTACATAATTTAAATTCTTAGTAATGAACCACATTATTTGTTAAATAAAATTAAAAGATTTATTGAGTATAAATTAAAAAATGAAAAAGGAGTGCATAGATGCCCACAGTTGGATAGTGATAAAAATTAATTAAAAAAAAAAAACATTAACAATTCTAAAATCATTACCAGAAATTCAATTGTTCATAATATTAAATGACAGTAAATAAATTACTATAAATATAACACTTTAAAAAGTTCCATATAAAACAATAAATAAGTATTAAATCAATATATAAATTAAATACAATCATAAACTATTATCTAGTGAAAGTCTTATCTTTCAGTTGTTGTCAATAATTATGCCTTCTTTGAAACTAACTTAAAATAAAACTAAAAAATACACAAATTGTGCTTGTGATGAAAGTTGTTTTCGATACATGTTTAATAATTTAACCTAATTGTCAACTCATATCAAAAATTAATATCAAAATATGACACACTGATATAATTAAATTAAAAAAAATATCTTATATCAATCTTCATATTGTTTTTAAATAAGTTCGTGATTTGTCTACTAAGCTAACTAACCGAACATAACCTAATTTATAATTACTAAAATATTAGAGATATTTACATCAGATCTTTTACCTCTCAATTAACTAAATTAAAATATAAAAAAGAAAATGAATTAAAATAATAAGTTTTAAAACATAAGGGATAAATATAATTAAAGAACTATATCAAATACTTTTTATGATTATAACTGATCCGACAAAAAGAATAAGAGCGACAATTTTTCTCATTTTAACTTAAAAAAAAAAATTAAGGGTAGCTGTGCTGATGATTAAGCACTCTAATGAAAATTTTAAAAAGAATACAGTATTTTTTAAAGATAGAAGTGAAGAGCATTTTTCAAGAGCATCAAATGTCAACAGCATTAACACTTATAGAATGTAAGTATATAAAAAACAGCAAATTATCAAAAAATTGGAATAGACATATTATAACAGATCCACTGAGGACCAAATTTTTTTTTCCTAGAACTTGAGCAATGAATCAAAATATATAGGTTTGAGCAAGAGGAACGGTCTCCATAGACATATAGAACCACACGACTGCTGAAATCGTCAAACATGCAAGTAAATGCTCGAAATTATGTTTTAAAAAATAAAATAAAAATACCTGAGTATAAAATAAAATCAATTAAAAATATAATTTTTTTTCGTAATAATAATAATAATAACAGAAAAACATTATGATTTGTATTTTTATTTTAGGGGAAAAACAGTGTATAAGCATAAATCAACTTTTTAAAAAATAGAAAATTTTACACATAGCTAATGAAAGGTTTTTCGAGGAAGTAAATTACATCAAAATTGCTCTTCTAACACACAATAAACAAATTGCCAACTATGTAACAGAAAATTTATAATTAAATAACACAATAGTGCCGAAACGAAACAGCTAAAATTACAAGAAATATATCAATTGAAAGTAGCACACTTAAAGAAATTCAATAATTATTATTATTAGAGTGCTAACAATATTCTCCATCGTAAGGTATGTTTATGTTCTAATGATGATTGATAGTGAAGAGATAAAAGAGTGGAACATGTAGAGACTGCTACGGAGAACCCTAGAGGCAAGTCGCCTCTTCCAGTCTCTGTCACTTCCCAGTCGAAGGCTGCAATAGAACGCTAATTTGGGCCCATAATTCCTTTTTGCAGGATTTGGATCTGAAAAAAAAAATAAAAAAAAGAATAATTTTATCATTATTATAGTTGAATTTATTTTTTCTACATATTAATGAATATCAACTTAATCAAGAAAATTCGATACATCACACAAAATTAGAAATTTTTTAAGAATTAGGCTACAAAAATAAACAAAACAGAACTTTTGACCACAGTGAAGTCTGTGGAAAGGTAAGAACTCAATTGTCGGTAGGAACAAGTGACGTTACCACGGCTGTATTTCCCAGCAATTTTTCTTAGTTAAAAACTTCATAAGCTTATAAAAAAAAATAACTAAGAGATTTTCAATTCTTAGTAATGAACCACATTATTTTTTAAATAAAATTAAAAGATATATTGCACATAAATTAAAAAATGAAAAAGGAGTGCATAGATGCCCACAGTTGGATAGTGATAAAAATTAATTTTAAAAAAAAAACATTAACAATTCTAAAATCATTACTAGAAATTCAATTGTTCATAATATTAAATGACAGTAAATAAATTACTATAAATATAACACTTTAAAAAGTTCCATATAAAACAATAAATAACTCTTAAATCAATATATAAATTAAATACAATCATAAACTACTATCTAGTGAAAGTCTTATCTTTCAGTTGTCGTCAATAATTATGCCTTCTTAGAAACTAACTTAAAATAAAACTAAAAAATACAAAAATTGTGCTTGTGATGAAAGTTGTTTTCGATACATGATTAACAATTTCTCCCAGCAGTTTTTCTTAGTTAAAAACTTCTTAAGCTTATAAAAAAAAATAACTAACAGATTTTCACAACTTTGGAAATCGTAGTTTCAAACTAAAATCTACGACATGTATTAACCCCATTAATTATCGATTGGAACATGGAGTCTACCAATTTCAGAAGAAATTGGAATTCCTAATTGGTGCCATATTTTTTCAAAAATATTTCTGAAAATTGCTGACAAGCAATGTTTAAAAAAAAAAAAAAAACTGATTTGGCATCCAAACCACACAACTTTCACTTACTGCTTTACTTAAATATATTGTGCAGTTAAAGTTATTATAGAGGATCTAAGATGAGTTAGCGAGTGAGTAGAGGGGGAGAGAGATGCGCAGTGGCAAAACATTTTCCCGTCGATCCCCCTCTCTTTAAAATATTCATGTGTACACACTTCTACAATTAGAAATATCTTTTATCAATTTTCTTATAATTTATTTTACCAATATTCATTTACTATGTCAAATAAACCGGGTAAAGCGAAAACTATCTACTCTCAGATCAAAAACATAATTATGAACGTGTATAAATTCATGATAGGAATTTGGGAAGGTGGAACATGAGTAGGAGAAAGCTGCGCAAGCTCCCTTCCCAAAAACGGAAACTCATCTTAGATCCAATATACCATATCTTTATCCAACTCATAAACAGTGCTGGAAATATTTTCAGTAGCATACATTTCTTCACATCTTCTATTGTAAAAATATGATAAAATAATGTTTTAACAATTCCATAATGCATTAAATACTTTTGTTTTTTCAAGAATAAAAATAACTGTAAAAGTTTCCAATCGGTGAATATTAAATAATATTAGCTACCCTCCTTTCTGAATCTAATGCAATTTTTGCAAATAAAGCCTAGAATGATGAGAAATGAATACAAAATGTATAAGTACCTGCGGATAGATTGTAACCATTCTTTAAATTGCTGACTTCCCTCAGGAGTGATTTGGAAGGCAGCTCTGGCTGAGAGAACAAGATTTAAAAATTCATCGTACTCAGCACTGGAAAGATGATACAGCTTTTGATGTAAACACTGTATGTACCTGAAATAAATAGCAAAAAAAACCTTGAGTGCATATTTAAACATAAAAAAATCTATCAATATAAATAATAAAAATCATACAAATAAATCTATACAAAATAAATAATTGAACTCATAACTTACATTTGTTGACATTTTTGAACTAAAGGTGTCAATGAACTCCTAAGATGCTGCATTACTAAGGTGGGATTATTTCTAGCTAAATAATGGGCGGCTTCAATCGCAACATCATGTAATATAAATGGAGACACGATGCTGTTAACTGCACAGACGCAGAACTGTTGAAGATATTGAGTTCCTAAAAAAAAAATTAAAAAATATATCAATAAAAAAAAAAGGTTTTAGGATATATATGAAATAGAAGCTTGCTCACACTTAGCTAAAAATAAAGTTTTGTCTTCTTCCTTAGTCCAATATTACTTACAAAATATTCATAAATATATAAATACATTTGTACAAACTGACAATGTCATCTAGGAATATATGTATATGGGTGATTCTCAGATTATGGACAATTTTCATGATCAAATTTTAATAATTTTCACAGCATTTAAATAAAATTTTCTAAATACCTACACCTTCTATTGGCACTCTAGCTTCATCTGAGCAGTATCTGATATTTTATTTATTTTTTATATTTTAGTATCTGATATATTTTTAGCCATATGTTTAACTAAATTTATCATTTGGTTTTCGACACAATTGTTTCTTTACCACTCTAACATGGCGTCATGTAAAGATACAATTTTCAATTATAGCCTACTAAAAAGAGGATGAAATGCCAAACAATTTCCTCACTTACAGTATGCAGGCCCGATTTTTAGTTTCTGAGATATTTTAATCCATATATAAAAACATTTCAATTAGTAGACTCTAGCTGACTTTATCTGATAATTTGCTGAGCGTTAATACAAAGCGAAATCTGACGCAACAATCTAATTTACTCTCCACAAAAAAAGTACAAAACGTGTCTAAAGAATTTTTCATTTAAAAAAAAAACAGAAGCAAGTTTTGGAAATAAACTTATTTTCATACCACCTTCTTTAATATTTAGGTTAGTTTAAAAAAATAAATAAGTAATGTACCATCAGATTCACTGGATGTTTATACATAGGAATACATACATAATTCCATAAAAATCTATTTGGGTTCTTTTGGAAATAACTCATATAGCATATAGGCAGGGAATCTTTCATATCATTGTGGGTATTTTTATAAAGCGTATTTAAGGTTTTAGTTTTCACATTGCAGCAATTACTATAATTAAATTTTAATTAAAACCAGAGCTATTATTTATAAAATCCACGCATATACTATCAGTCTGTGCTTTTCTCGCCTTTATTAGAGAAAGATGATAAGAAACTTCAACATTTAAACCATATCAATTAGACTATTTCAATGAGGTTAAAGACTAGAATGTAATAAGTCTAACTAAAATCGTTAAGTGCTGTTCTAAAAAAAAAAAAAAAGCTAGTTTAACTCAGCACTACGTTTAACCATCTATGTTATCTTCTTCCATTCAAAACCCATCAACTCCTGGTCTCCTCTCTTGTTTTCTCCCACTTCGACTAAGGCTGCATGGTGTATGGTGGACTCTCGGGAGAACTCGAAGCTAAACTTAAACGTTTAATGAATTGCTCAATCCGCTTTATCTTCGGGATCTCAAGGGATACGCGTATTACCCAGTTCTACACCAAGTTGAAGTGGCTTTATCCGTCCTACCGCCGTCAATATTTTCTTGCTACCTTCCTATAGTAAGCCATTAGAACACGGCGACCTGCCTGTATTCTACAGATCCTACAATTCAAATGCTCCTTTCAATCCTGTCCCACCAGATCCCATACGTCCGACCTCTATCCTCCTCCTCACCGAACTGCTGCATTTGGTAAATCCTTTTTAATACAAGTTGTCTCCCTCTGGAACTCTATACCTTCAGATATTCGATACGCAAAATCCATATCCTCTTTCAAATCTCCTCTTCTAACACCTACTCCATTCCCAATCCGATTGATCACGAAATGCACTTGAAAACCTAAGCTGTAAAACCCTCAAAGTACGCCCAGATACCAAATACTTTGTGATTCATCAATATTTCATTTACTTAATTACTTTCTCAGTATATTTTATATTTACAGGTATTTATATCTTTTTATTACTTATAACTTTATTGTATTCCTAATCAACCTATAAATATTAAACTGTATTTTATGGACACACCAAAATATTAATATATATTCTGTATTTGTAACTTGTTCTAAAGGGACACTAGTCCCAGAATAATAAAATTATTTTCATTCATTCATTCGTTCACTACACAAGTTCATCTTCTGATTGCCAACTTTTGATTATTTTCTCATTAAATAGTTAAGACATATAAAAGATATTTACCTAATTTCTCTGCAATACGTAGAAGCCATTTTACATCATCACCATAAGGAGGATGCCTGGCATACTTTGCATTTGGCCTGTCGTCATGAACTCTACGAGCTATAGTTTCCATAGCCAACATTCCGACTCTGTAAGCAGCAAGTAAATAGCGAACCTGCGCTGGTGTGTACTGTTGATGTGTGCGTTGTACCTAAAGAGAAACAAGCAAATTTAAAATAAAAATATTTATTGTTTCAATATTTAATGAATGAATGAAAAAAATAATAATTTGTACTTATAGGATCTATGAATAATATTAATACCTGCTGTTGGGGTCGGACAGGAGCTGCAACTGTTACGACCTGCGGTGGAGGTTGGGAGACAGGCTGAGCTGGCGCCTGCGCTATATTTGCTATCTGTGCCTGTCCCGGGCCAACCTTTAAGGCAAAACCAACAAATTTGATATATATTTTTTAAAAATTGTTAAACAAAGAACATGAAATTTTATTTCTACTTTTAATATTACTATAAATGAACATATACTCAAAAAGGGACTGCTAAAGTTTGACCAATCATCAGGGACAAAAAAGCAAGATCACATATACCCAGAAAAAAATTATAAGCAACATCTCACCAAGCTATCCAAATACATATTGAGGGTTGCATGAACTCATTTCTTCCTCTTGTTTTTTTTTTTTTTTCTCTTAGTGAATATATATGATATTTTTTCTGTCCTGATAATGTCTGACAGTGAAATGTTGGCAGGTTAATTGTTCACCTGTATAAGACTTAAGGTTTTATGGTACAGATTTTTCCATTTATATCCTTTTATTCTATGATTACCTAGTTCGGTCATAAATACTGTAACAAAAATTGAACTTTTTTCACATCCTTGAGTACTATTTAGGTAATCCTTACCTCTATCAGGTTATTTTATTTACATGTCAGGATAATAATCCCAATTAGTTTGCATTTTTCTTTCGCTCAGTTAATATGGAGTGGAGTGATAAAGAAAACCAACTATAAATAGATACAATGAGACCATATCTGTATGTGACAGACCTTGACCAGGCCGTCCCCACACTTTGAGAACAGCAAATGCAGTGAGAGCAGTGGCTGCTCGAATCAGAAGAAATCCCATTCGAAAACAATAAATCATGTCTCGAGAAATGGGAATCTCTGTCAGATCAATGTCTGGCATAGTAAAAAGTTACCTTGGGATGGGTGCATTTCGAATAATGACAGAACAAAGGCTAACCACTTCCTTAAAAAAATTAGAGTGGATAGATGCAAAGTGCTCCTTGGGCGTTACACCAATTGTCTTCATCAAAAGATTTTTTTTAGTGATGGGATAATTTTTACAATTGAAGAAAAATTTAATCGCCAAAATGATCGTGTGAATGCACACAGCTCTAAAGAAGCCCAGGAAGTCATTGGAAGAGTGGTAAGAGGTCATCACCCTTCTTCAGTGATGGTTTGATTTTATGGCACCACAAAGCTCCATTTTTGTGAAAAATGAGTTAAGCCTCTGAATGATACTGTTTGCTGGCAGCCATTGGATTTCCCAGCAGGATTCTGCTCCAGCTCACAAGGCCAGGTCTAGCAGTGGCTTCAAAAGAAGCGTTCATTTCTGCTTCGGACTGGCCCTCAGGAAGCCCTGATCTCAACTCACTAGATTGTCGGCTTTGGTCCGAACTGGAGAGGATGGCATGCCACAGAGCACATCCTAACTAGAAAAGCCTCAAACAATCTCTAGTCAGAACAGTTGAGCACTTTCCTCAAGAAGTGCTGCGTGCTGCTATTGATGACTAGCCACGGAGATTAAATGCCTGTCAAAGCTAAAGGTTAACATTTTGAATAATTTCTTTTTTAATTTACTCTCTATAGATATACATTTTAATTTCTAACATAGTTTTTTAAAAAAATAATTTTTCTGTTGAAATCTGTATATATTTCCTTGTAACAATATTTATGACAGGACTAGGTATTCTAATTAAACTGCATACGAATTTTACTTTAAACAGAAGATTTTAGATAAAAATAGTTCAAAATTTAAAATTATTATTCTTAAGAGTAAAAAAAAAAAAAAAAAAAAAAAAAAAAGTAAAAAGAATTTTGAAGAAAAACATTTATTCATTCAACAATAATTATAATTAATAAATAAGTATAAAATAATATTTTACCTGGATAGGTGTAGCAGAAAACACATGAGTTGGATGACTGGCTTGATAATACTGGAATGGAGGTCCAGGAAGATGGAATGTCTTGAAAATGATGACAAATTCATTAATAGATGTAGTTATATAAAAAAAAAAATTATATGGGACAAAAATATTATCAAGTTTAGGTTCAAACTACTTAGCTATTTTTAGATTCAAGTACCAAAATTTAAAAATATCATATACGAACAAGGTAGGTTATTTTGTTCCTTAAGTGATCAAAATTCTCCTATGAAATAAAATGTTTTGTGTTGTATATGGCCTCCAAGTGGTAGTCTAAGATGCGAAAGGCCTAGTAGATGAAAAAGGCCCTGCTGGATGCTAAGTTCAGAGGAACAATAAACATAAGTTATCAGGTGTTTTTCTTCCTCCTAATGTTGTATGAGACATAGCTCTACTCAAACTTTTAATGCAGAGTTGCTCATACTAGAATTATAAAGGTGACTGTGATCTCTAGATAATTTAAATTTCATCTGTTATTATGGAGCAAATATCAGTTTTACTTATTAATTACTGGAGATATTTTGCTCCAGTACACATTTATTCACAAGTAGTACTAATTATTCTGATTTGTTTGTACCCGATTTTTATTACATTTTTAACATCCTTACAATATCATAGTAAATATAAAATATCATATGATATTAATTTAAAATTAATTGAAACAAAAATAACATAATTTGGATTTGACTTCGTTAAGATTTACCTATATTGAGTGAAAATTTCTTTTTATATATTATTTCAATGAAAACAGAACAAAAAAATTGTATTTTATAACACAATGTTCTTAGTTGTTCATATCTTTGATGGAGACGATATAGAAAAGCACTTCAATTCTCAGAGAAGTTTGGAATCTTATTTTAACTAATATCATGGAGGCTGTAAAAAACAAAGATAATAATTGTCAACTATTCATAGAAAAAGTATTATTTATGATATTTGCCTAAATAACAATTATTTAGGGTGTTTTTAAAGTCTATTCTTTTTGAACTAAAGAGCTGAAGTTGAAGCTGATAAAAGAGGCATTACAAAGTAGTTTGTAATAATTATCTTCGTAGGGATAACTGTTTCCTTGATATTTATAAAAGTGTACTATCAGACAAAAAAACATGGATTAAAAAATTTGTTTGCCAGAGGCAAGAACACCCCCCACCTTCAGCTGACATTTTTTGACATCTGGGGGTTGTGTGGTTTCATACTCACTAAAAAAAAAAATCAACTTCAAATAATACAATTTTTTTTTTTTTTTTTTTTGCCCATGACTTCTACTGAATACAATCTTCACGCATTTGGTAAAGGGATAGAGTAATGGGGAAGCCCTTTTCAATGGGCGCAATTTTGAAACCTCCGCTTTGATTTGGCAGATTAGTACAAATTGAAAGCTGAAAATTCATATTATAACAGCGTATGATTAAGTTTTTTAAATATGTACTAAAAACATTCTCGTTTTACTTATAACTTTCTCATTACAGATAATTTATTTAAATCGTTGTAGATTTCTGATTTTATTTTTCAAAAATACTTCTTGTGTGTTAATAAAATAGGAATTTGAAAATGGGACATATGATAAATAAATATGATTGTGAAAAATGATATGTTAAGCATAAGAAATGCTGAATTATAAATAAATCTAATATTCTGTATCATATAACTTATATACCAATAAATGGAATATTAACTTAAATTGAGAAATAAATACCTGCAAAGCTATTTGTTGCGGATGCCTAAGTTGGTAGTGACCTGGAGGCGGAGCGATTGTGATCAATGGATAAGGCAACGCGATTGGAGAAACGTATTGCGGTGGAGGAGGAGGCGGAGGAGTTGGTGGAGGCTGTGGTTCGACCCACGTCACCATTGCAGTACTCACATGCTGCTCTGGCATGGCTGCGTGCTGCTCGCTGGCTGGGTTCAATCCCTCGTCCACCAATTCTGGATCGCCTTGAGAATTCTGAAAAAAAAAGTTATTAATATTATTTCTTTATCAATTAAATATAGTTAAGGGAAACATGAACTTATTAAAAAAAGTAAAATAACATCTATTTCTTAGACAACAGCTAATTCTCCATCATGGACAATTTCATTAATAAAAATAAGTTAAACAAATTTCTGAATAACAATCTGAATGAATCCTATAGCAACAATTAGGTTTATGTACAATGAAATAATTTTCACAGAGGGATCTAAATGAGAAAAAGGTATGGGATGTTGTACAGTGACTCAAACCTGTATATATAAATGAAAGTTGAACAGCAAGAATTCAATTTTCACAGATAAAACATGAGTTTTATTCTGTAACATATTTTCTAAAAGCTTTCGAATATATAATCAATAGTATTCATAATTGGTAATTGGTTGACTGTCGTGGATAATGAAGGGAAGAATAGTTGGGGTGCTCAGTCAAAAAATAAATTATAATATTTATTTCTTACATATGCCATATGTTACATAAGGCATATGTAAGAAATAAATATTATAATTTATTTTTTGCCTTCCTTTTTGACTGAGCACCCCAACTATTCTTCTCTTCATAATCAATAGTAGTTAAGCAAAATGTATGCATGAGCTTGAAGTTATATAAAAATGGCCAGGAAATAGCACTGCCATGAATCTCTTCACTTATAAGTATTTGTGGCAATTAACGAGCAAAAGAAGCCATTAGAAGCTCTGATTCACCTTATTTAGGATAGATGTATCCCAAATAATGGACACAAGAAATTATAAGAAAGGAGGAGAAAAATTGGAATGAAAAATGTAGCAGTATAGTAACCTCCATGTGAGCAAAGAAGACAATCTGTGCTAGAAAAATCTAGCAAAGGAATGTCCGATTAGCATGCTAAGAATTGGACATGCCAAATAAAATATTCACACCTGCTTTTGGAGCTAAACTGACCAACTCATCAAAAATGTGACAATGCATATATCACTATAATATCAAAAAAACAACAAATAAAACTCAAAATTGAAAGTGCAGCTCTATACATAAGAAAATCTATTAAAAAAATGTTCAAGTTCATAAATTAATTCATTATATTTAAGAAGAATGGCCTCATCACTAATGGCCATGTTCTATTTTTGAGAGAACAAAATAGAAAGAAAAGGAACCTATTCCCAAAGATCTTGGGTATTTCTCCAAATAGAACTTTAAAAAAAAATCAGTGCTTAACGATTACCTAATAGAGAAAATTAATATTTCCTATAACACATTCCAAGACGCATGACTAAAATATCTTGCAAGAATATGTAGTATCTTATTTAATAAAAAATAAATTAATTAAATTGCAAGTGTCATAAATTAATTAATAATTAAAAAGGAAGGAGATGGTCCGGGGTGGCGGTCATAAATAGGCTAAATAGTGGTAAAACTATTTTATTGAAAGACGACGTTTCGACCCGACTTTGCAGGTCTTCTTCAGGGCTAGAACGGACAAGATACAAAAAGATAGAGAATTGTGGCAGTTACATAATATTTAGACATAATTTATAAACAATGTGAATAAGCTTATCAAAATTATAAACAGTAAGTACAATAAAATATGAACAAAGTAAGTTGAGTAACAAGATCCTAAACTGAAGTAAATAGATGTTAACGATTGTTGTAGTGTAATATATAATAAATGAAAATGTGAATATACTTCTACAAATCTACAGGAGAGATTGAAAGAAAAGGAAAAAGGATATAATATGAAATAATAGATATAAAGGAATGTGGAGAAAGAAAAGAAAAAAGGAAACCAAAATTAGATAAATAAGTAAATAAAATGGAAGAATAAAATTAGAGACTTACAGGTGTGTTCAGCTAGGAATTTTACTTAGAACTGGAAAATCAAGGGTAAGGGCAGGTATAAGGGAAGCTAACATGTTTGGGTAATTGGGAAAAACCTAGGAAATTACAGTATCTAAAATTTGATGATATGGATGGATACAATGGAAAAATACTATATCTATGAAATATTAAACTATAAATATATAAATATACATATAAAATAGAATTGAGAGACTATAGATCAGAGTACAAAATAAAAACAAAATTGCCAAAAGTAAAATATAAATAACAATTTATTATTGATTCAACCTATAATATAAATATATTATTTTTATGATTCTTAAAGACTAAAAATTGTATTAATAAATAACAACACTCCTTACCCTCATATAGAGTTCAAACCAATATTTGGCAACTTGAAAAAGAACATCTGGATAAACACCTCCCCCTTTGGCTGCGCCTTCGACTGTAAGGCAAGAGTGTTCAAGCATTCGATCGGATTGCTCTTTGCACTTTAAAATAAAATATAACAAGAGAATTAATTAAAAAATATTTATATCAATTATCACACACATTACAAACACTATACCTTTCCATTAAGTATGTATCAAATTTATTTATCTCTTTTTTTCTAATTAACTCAAGCATAAGCCTGAGAACTATATTAAAGCAATACTCTCAGAATTTTATTCAAATAACTTCATCCTTAATGACCAAATGCATTAGTGCAAAGGAATAGAGTAGTTTTGAACATACTTTAAAAGAAAAGAAAGAAACACTTTATTTTCATATGGATAATCAAATAAAGTATAAGAAACATTTTTAAATTTACCTGCAAAATAGCTCTCTGAATCTCATTTGGATTGAGAGCGTGTGCATGAGGTAGGCACGACAGGGCTAGTTCTGCTGCAGCACGGGTCATATTTCGGTCGCACCCACGAGAGGCACGGTCGGCAATACTCGCCGCTTCTGGCGGAGTCAGATGACCTTCCCACGTGTCCTGGAGAAATGATATAGCAGGTGCACCGATTTCCATTGCTTGACCTAAAAAATGATAAATATTCGATAAATTAAAACTTAGAAAACACGAAATAAAATTAATGTTAAAGTTTTTAAAGTTATATTAGATAGATACATAGAAAATAACTTTATACCGGGATGAAGTTCCTTCAGAATAATAAAATAGTACAAAATTAAAAGATTATATCTGACCTAAATAAAAACAATAAAAAGAAAAAAGCAGAGAAAACATTAGTTAAACATGCAATATACAAAATATAAAAAAAATAAAAACACTTAAAGTTATGTAAAGTGGTAAAATATACACTTTTTAGAAGAAAAAAAACTTCTTTAAAAAAATCTGGTGTGTCCACTCACACAACTTTCCTACCTATTTCAGAAAAGTGTTTATATCTTTACATATGTTCATGAACAAACAAAAAAAAAAATGAACTAAATTTATTTTCCTGAAAATTGATCAAACAAAAGATTTGAGTACGATTTATTTGATAAACTAAAGCAATGAAACCGACTTAAGGTAGATCAGTGTAAAAATTTCAATACTCCCTAATATTGCTGATAAAAAACTTTTTGCCATAGCTTAGTATTGTCAAACAATAATTTCTGTTAAAAGTAGAGGAAATAGTGAAGATTGTGTGATGCAGGCAGATTTTCTTACTTTCACTTAGTCATCTTTATTCTCTCATTCACCCCTTTCTGACATCAGGAAATGAACTCGTAATCTTTCATTGGAAATTGAATAGCTGTAACTTCGTTAATAGTTCTCCAAAATGAACGATTTTTATATGGCTTTGTAGGGAATTTCATTACCTTCCAACGATAGGCTTAACGGCTTTTTATTTCGGGAATTTAGTCTATATACGAAAACTGAAAGGTCAATGATTAGAACATCACAGAAAAGTTTCATCAAAATCGTTAGAGCCGTTTTCGTGCTACAGGCTATACAAAAACGTGTTTTTCATTTATTGTGCACAAGCTATTGCGCATGGAGCAAAGAATTTCTGTCACATGCATCAGTAGTCAAAATCCTACAAAATAAAAAAAGAAGCAACAAAATTGGTTCAGTAGTTCCTGAGAAAATCTTGGCACAGACAAACAGACAGACAGACCAATGGCTAAAAATGTGTTTTTCGGACTTGGGGGCTGTGAAACGTATAGATCTGTCGAAAACCGCATGTCAGAAATTTGACCCGATTGCAATACTTTCCTTACCTAGTATAGGTAGGAAAGAAATAAGCACTGAGTTCCAGTTAAGAAAAAAGTAAGTCGAATCTGACAATATACAATGCCTGAGTATTTTAAATGATGCATAATATGTAAATAAATCATTATCATTTCTTGACATAACAATAGATACAAATGTAACTGTATAAAAAAAACACGAACAATATGATAATATTAAATCATCTTTCTGAATTATAAAAAATTATTTCATGTGAACTAATGTTATTGATCTTTAAGAGCTATACAGCCATTTTTAATAAATAGATCTGAAAGAAAAATGACTCGATTTATCTGTTTACATATAACTTGATTAACTTTATTTAGATAAAAAAACAAACTGATCAATTACTTTAAATAAATAATATAAATTTTAGTAAAAAAAGGTGGTATGTAAAAATTAAGATTTTTTAAGAAAAAAAAGTATGAAAATGATTATTTATTTATGATTTATTAGTGTAATTTCATATTTTATTTACCTATACCATTTTCCTTAGTAGCATACTACAAAATGTCACCTTTCGTAAGCACAAATAGAATCAACTCGTTTTTGAGTATGTAATGCACTAACAGTAATATGTCTAGATGTTGAAAAAATTAAATATGACATTATTTTCATGCTCTGTTGCCCAAACAGATTTGATCGGTATATACACAGCATGCATACTTCTCGTTTTTATTAGGCATATTATAAATATACTTTTTCCTTTTAGTTTGACTATTTGACGATGAATATTATCATCATTAAATTAATATTTTTCCCGGTCAAATCTTACATAAATTCATAGTAGAATAAAATTTTATTTAAGCTTAAGGTGAGAATACTTTTCAAAGACTAAAATTATTGCTGCCAAATTTTCACCATATGAGTCGCCTAAAATCGAAGACTTGAGCATATTTCTGGCATATTTAAAAAATTAAGAAAAAAAACAATTTTGTAAGATCCTTTCAATATAAATCAATTATGATAATTTTTCATGAATAATTTACCAAATTTGATGATAAAATAAATAAATAAAACTGTGTATTAATCAAAAATAACATTGGGCTTACCAGTAATCCAAGATACATGAGATGAGTACGTGCGACTCAACCAGTTTGGTGAAACACAGTTGTGTAAACCGAGAGCATAGAGTCCGAGTTGAAATGCGCACATGTGCAAAGCTCTCTGCGGTCCATGATGGTTCTGACTTGTGAGCGCCTGAGTGAATAGAGAGGTAGAACTGTTGCCTCCTGCTTTTATCAAAACAGTTTTGGCCAATTCGAACATGAAGTGAGCACCTGCTTCGGAAGGCTGATTAGGTATCGATGGGTAAGCTCGTTTCCCTTTGAATCTGGAACAACCTCTAGATTAAAAAATAAATACCTCAAGTAATCTATTTAGAATATTTTCATAAATAATGTCAACACATGAGAGGCTAAGAAGCAGGAAATATATAATTAGAATATATACAGTAAGAGTTTTTTTTTTTTTTATAAAACAAAAGATCGTTTAATATTACAGTGAGAGGAAAGAAAATGAGGAGAAAGTTGTAACAAAGGCCTCGTATTAAAGACAAACATCTATCATTTTTAAAAAGTTGAGAAACAGCCAATTTTTGCATTATAGCTTCAATTTAAACCGATCCTAATGATTTTGATTTTTCATGATTCAACGAAAAAAATCTTAAATAAAATTATCGGAAACAGTTTGTCGAACCTATAAAACAAAATTTGACTTTTCCTCGACTTTCTTTAAATGAAAGATATCTGTCCATGATATGAAGCCACTCATATAATGGATTTATTTTCAAATATTCATACTAATTCTTAGATGACTTTTGGCCATCTTCACTTATCCTTTTATCATTGCAGACGTTTCGGCTTCATGATTCATTTTTAAGTATTAACTATCAAGAATCTGTATGATTTTTAAATAAAATTCATCTATCATTTCGTAACACATGGTCAGTATTTTATTTATTATTTTATTTTATTTAAAATTTTATTGATTTTAGGGCTTTGTTGAATCCTTTGGCTCGATTTTACTTGGTTCTTTATATCGGGCAAGAGGACTCAACAACAAAGATTGTAGCTACAAATAGTTTATGAAACTAGAAAATTGGTAATAATTAAAGGATAGTATAGAAAACAAATTCCTTTGGCCAAAAATAATCGAATCCAAAATGGACTATTTTCCATTTTAAACAATGGAAGGACTATCTAGCATCGGATTTATGAATTGACATGCATTTTATTGAATGCAAATAAAATATTAAGGACAAGCATTGAGAATCCATATTATTAATTTAAATCTGTTACAACATTATCCTGATAATTTGAATGAGTTTTTTTTTTTTTTGAGATCATTTTTTAAAATTTAATATTGGAAAGGATTAATTTCCGTAAAAACAAACCTTGATTCCTTGACTCTAGTCGAGGTCTGTATGGAAGAGGTAGCTGGAGGTGGAATATTTAAAGGTTTCGTCGGAAGACAAGCTTCTAACTCTGCACTACTCGAGCAAGGAGTCGATCTCATAGAAATTCCTGTAACACAAATTAAAATATATTTACAATTAGGGTGAACGCATCAGTGATGGACACGTTGTGCTTTAAATAAATAATAAACTGTCTTGTTGATTTAAAGATACTAGTTTTTTTCTATATTGAAGAATAATGCTCTCTATTGACAGCTGTATGAACTAAGTTCCCAAAAGAAAATTTTAGAATGCCTCTTGATATCATCGTTTTTCATATTTTCTTAACAGTTTTGCTATGAGTAAGTTTAACACTTATGTTATCTTATCTTTATAGTTAAATAAAGATTTTTTCTGAGGTATGTCCATTACAGGTACTGACCCCCTGTCCATTACTAGAACAATTGAATTTTGGGGTGTCCATCACTAGAGCAAAAAGGTGTTTTTTTTTTTTTTTAAATGGTGATTATACCTGCATAACTGAATATTTTTTCAATTTTAAAGTATTAAATAGAAAAAGGAGACCGTAGAGATTCTAATTGTCCAACGGAGACGTTTATAACTATAATAATTACAGTGGCATAAGCCAGAAAAGACAAAAATTTACTTAATTACGTCCATTACAGGTGCGCTTACCCTAATTTAATATTATAAAAAAAAATCTATGAACTACTTCAAACATGATATGCTAAAGCCGGATTTAGGCCAGGCACATGTTGAGACGCAGCTTGGTGAAATGACAAAGAATCATAGCAATAAGCAGAATCAAAGAGCAATAAGGGAGAGCGAAAGTAGAGAAGTAATTCCAGCCCAACTGCATAACTTTGAGGTAGTGTAGAAAATGTGTAGTATAAGTGAAATTTACTTAAATTTATATTTAAGTTTCAGGGTTCAGCTAAGGGGCTCCACTAAACCATCAAATTCCTCTCGTATTCAATCCTTACAATCCAAAATCCTTTGTAAAATCCTCAATGCTCCCTACTTTGTTACAAATAAAACCATCCATGGTGACCTTAATGTTTCTTATATTTCAGATCTGGCCCGATCCAGATACCTTTCTTTCTATAATAAACTTCAGAATCATTCCAACCCTCTTTCTAACCTTGCTTCCTCTTCAATTCTTGATAACCCTCCGAGGTGTCTGAGAGAAGATGACCCTGTGATCTCCTAATGTAGACATATCATTAGAGTGCTACCATTGGGTAGTTTCTCAACAAGTGTTTTCACCTCATTATATCCATATGTTCAAATTTACTAAATGTATTTATTTAATACATTTTTAAATATCATTAAGAAATAATAATAAAAATTAAAAAATATTTATGTTTGAAATAAAATGAACTGAACAACCTAATAACTAAATTTTTCCATGAAAAAGTTTCAAAAAGCAACTATTTAAATCAAAGAAAAACACATGGAGAATTCATCACGATAAAATATAAAAATTACTATTATCGTGAAACCCTTGAACATGTTATGAATGGCATGGATTCATCAAGGAGTCAATAGATGCTGGAGGTTTGCAAGGAAAACTAGTCTTATTTTTAAGGTAAGCACTTTGTTCATTTCCATAAATATCATCTTTAAATCACCAAAAATAATAAAGTGTTTTTCCTATATTAAGTCGATATGTGCTCGTGCAGAAAAGTAAATAGAGAAACTATCCATGCTTCAATAATTCTATTATGATGAAGTAAAAAATAGGACAAAACCTGACCTATATTAGGATCAACCGGAAGAGGTGGTGTTTCCAACGGCGGATGCTCAACTTCACTATTCCAGTCATTCATTGCCGACATCATGCTCTTCACCGGAGGATGAGTAGTGTAGTAAATGCTGGATAAAGGTGTTTTGGTGAGTTGATGAACATCGCGATCCAGGAGCTTTTCCATTATGTGAGCTATTTTCACAGGCTGATCTTTGTAGTGTACCAGCAGTGTCACGGCAAGATCACCTCTGAAAGCGACAAACATAAAAATAAATCAAATGATGAAGAAAATTTAAAAAAACAAATAATACACATCGATTGTTACTAAAGTCTTCACTGACAAAGTCATAATTAGAGAGCAGTTTTAAATAAATAACACCTACAAACGTACAAAAATCCTCTATTTAGTTTCATTTATTATATTAATAAATAGATGATTTTTGCAGATTTCTAGGTGTTGATTATACAATTTTAAATATATTTTTTAAGAAGTTTTTACACATTTTGAGCTTTTCACAGCACGAAAATTCAGTCGCTCGTCATAACTGATATTAATGTCTCTATATTAATCCTTATTTAACTCAGATGTAAAATATAAATATATCGTCAATTTATTGTAAAAAGTCACTAAGTACAAGTACGCTTTTGGTCGATTTAAATCCGATGGTACGTAGCTCTAAATTCCGATCATATTTATCGATATAATAATTCATCAAGTACATACCTAAAAATAATACAAATCTTTTTATATTAAAAAGTATTTTCAATAATTGCACAATGCTGATTATAAATAAATAAAATAATAAAAGGCTTAGCAAACCCGGAGGTTGGATGCCGACACCACTAATCGATTATTACACACCTCCCTCCACCGTTCGCTGTCCAAACCCAGTTCCTTCAAATCGACTTTAACGCTGTCTTCCCACCTTTGCTTCAGCCTCCTCCTCGGATGTTTACCATTCGGTACAGCTAATATCAACCTTTTAGGACAATGTTGATTTTACAAAGCAAAAAGTCATCAAGTCACTTACAGGATATAGTAAGCCATTATTTCCAAAATCCTTAAATCCCTTATATAGGAGCAGAGTAGACCGTTGAGTAAAGAGCACTAAAAATTTATACTGATTTGGTCACTCGGAAAAGAATATTTCAGCAAGACTTTTGCCCGTAGTTCATAACCCCTTAGTCAAAGAAATATTCTCAGAAATGGATGGTGGTAGCATCATCTACCACTCTTCACCTAAGAGCACTTATTTTATACAGTTTCACTATGATCTTTTAAAATCAATGACATAATTTTTTTAAATCTGTAACAATGAACAAGATGAGGATATCATATTAAGATTTGAGGAGTTATCCACCTTGAAAACTAAGGAATTAGTAAGTAATTGATGATGATGGCCAATATTTTGACTAGAATCTTCCCTGGAATAATCATATCTCCCAGATTACCCAAAAATCCATAACTTAAACAACTCCTAAGATTCCGTGATTGTATTCCTCTAAAAACCAGACAGCTGCTTATAACCTCTCTTATATTCCCCCACTTCGACTATGGCTGTTTTGTGTATGGATGGATATATGCAAGGCTAGAAATGAATCTGAAGAAACTCATGAACTGTTTCATAAGATACATCTTAGGGATCCCCAGGCGTTCACATGTTTCATTCTGGTACACCGAGTTGAAGTGGCTTTATCCTACTTCCCAACGACAATTCATCCCTGGTGTTTTTATTTTCCAATTATTCAGAACCAAAAACCCTCCCTACATCCTGGGACTCCTTACTCTACACTCCTCTATCCACTCTCGCAATACCAGGTCTCAACCTATAGACTTATATATCCCCTCCCATAAAACTTCTTCCTTGAGCAAATCCTTTATCATTTGTGCTGCTTCCTTTTGGAACTCTCTTCCTACCTCTATACGTCAATCCTCATCCACAAATTCCTTCAAACAACTCCTGTTTCACCACCTAATCCACATTCAAACTTCCGCAAACATGTAAAATTACTTGCATCTGTACACTGATTAATTTCAATCTACTTCACAATTGCAATAACAGTTAATTAGTCTGTATTTTTTATTATTCTAAGTCAGATTAAGACCCATAAATTTGTAACTCTGTTATTATTCTTAGGGGACAGTAATCTCAGAATAAAATTATTTTTTCATTTCAATATTTTGAAGAAGAATTTAAACAAAAACTTTTGTATCAACATAATATTTTTAAAGAATGTTACCTTTGCCTTCTTGTTCCTTCACACAATAAAGGATGGTCTGCTTCTGACACATTTGCTTTAAGCCCAAGAGCAGCAGTCGAAGCTTCAAAACCTAGTATTTCATCTGATGGAAGCCGAAGCTGCTGTGATATTAATTGACATCTCGATTCTCTTCCTACTTCAAAACAAAATCAAGTTAGCACTGTATATTAAATAAGAACAAAACTGCTCTTAAAATGTAAACATTCACATACATAAATAAGAAATATTAAAAGAAATATATGATAGGAAACCTGGCATGGTGAGGGCATCCAGTATAAAACTAGCGAGTGTGATAGGCAGAAGAGCTTCTCCTCGTGAGCGTAAAATCCCATCTCTTAGCAATTCTGCTCTTTCTCGAATCATATTCAACTCGTATTCGCCTAGAGGGATCCTTTTTAGCAAAGTAACAAGTTCTGATTCTTGATGGAATAGCTTTACCTTGAAAAATGAAATAAGAAAAAATTAATATAATGATCTCAGCAGTTGATGATTCATTAAATTATAAACTGATCTTACCTCGAGAGGTTTCGTTGTGGCAGGAGGTCTTGGCATTTCGAGCCCGAATAGACCGACCCTAAATGCAAGATGATAGTGCTCAGGATTTTCAGCGAGGACTGTACATAAGAATGCACATTTTGCAAGTGTATCGGAAGCCAAGATACTCAACTGATGGGAAGCCGGATTAATCTAAAAAAGATAATACACTTTTAGTTTTCGATCAGTAAAAAATAACTTTTTAAAAATACTTTTCACATGATATTTTTGAAGATTCAATTATTTGATGTAAACAAAGAATTTTCTAATAATGAATGATTCTTTTCATCTTCAAAATTTGATTGTCCCTACTGCTGGTCAATGCATACTTGTAAACAAGGAAATTAAGAAAGAAGCAGATGAAATAAGAAACAGTGGGGTCTTGAAACGTCATCAAAAAATGAGGAAGTAAGGTGGGTTTACATTCCAAAAAGTTGTAAACAAAACAAACTGGAGTATTCATACATCCATGTTCCAGAAACATGTTTTAGTTTAAATAATTTTTGTTTTAACAATAAAAAAAAGTAAATACTTAACAGACATGCTAATAGTGTGTTCATGGAGCCGATGCTAAATATTGTAAACTACATATAAGTTGAGAAACTTATTCAAGATTTGATGGTTGAATATGATAAAGAGATAAGTGTTGTTTTAAAATACTTTTTGGAGTAAAATACATAATAACAATAATATAAGATATTATAGCAGAGTTAACAAAAACTGATAATAGAATCAAAACCTGGAACGTCATAAGGTAGAACTGAACACATTAAAATAAAATTTACTAACTTTTTTCCTTTTTCCCTTAGTTTGAATTGGGGGCAAGTCAACCATTAGATTTGGAGGATTGTCGAGCAGATCTTCAGCCAATCTAACGCCAAGAATGCATGCTTCTTTATTATGCCCGTGAGCGTGTAATCCTTCAGCGCGTGCGAACAACACATCCCAAGGATCTTTAGGCCCACTTACACCATTTAATATTAGTTTCTGCCTTTCATCTTCTTTTTTATCAATTCCTTTACCTGTAACAAATAAATTACATATTAATCGAAAAAATTAACAATAGCTAATGATATCAATATTTAAAAATCAGATAAAACTATAAAGATGTCTTTTTTGAAGTTTCATCAAAATATCAACATTTTTAAACAGCTGATCAAATATCTTTACAAATTAGCATAAACACATACATTTCATAAAATTTTATAATGCATATTACGAAACTATAATCCCGTGGGCTATATCAGTTATCTACCTTGGACTGCAATTAGATAAAAAATTAACATTCACATCTCACATCAACAACAAATGCAGTAAAGCTAAAAAATTTATCAGTATAATGGCTCCCTACTTTCGAAGAAAATCTTCTCTTTCAATAAAAAACAAAATCATTTTATATAAATCGGTTATACATCCTTTAATAACATATACTTGTCCAGTATGGAGTTACACATGCAACTCCATAAAAAATTAGAAAGGGTACAAAATCTATGTATGAGAATAATAAAGGATTATCCCAGATACACAAGAATAACCAACATGTTAAATGATTTAGAATTTCAGACAGTTAAACAATTTATATATTCCCAGACCGAGAAAATTGTCAACTCCACAAACACTTCTGTAAATCCCTTAATTAAGACAATAGATCATTGCAATAAGTAAAGCTTAAGAAGATACAAACACGGATGCACAAAACATATTTTACTTGAATAAAAATGCAAAAAATATTGCATTACTTACATAAACTATATTCTTTATTTAGATGAATATAGTTTTTCTTTTATTATTATTGTTGACTTTATTTATATACTAATTTTACTTACATTGTTATTATTTTCTTTCTTTCTTTTCCTTTACGTAGGTTATTTTTATATTTTTTCCTACTGTTAAATAACAAAGAATGTAACTAAAATGTATAATTTTAAAATACTTTATGTGAAATATTGTACCAAAACATGAACGATTTTTATTTACATTTTTTATAAATTGTAAATTAATTTAAATAAACTTATTATTAATAATATTACGCATATTTGGTGACAAATGCAAGTTTTGATAAATTCAATTAAGTAAAACAAAATTTAGAAATAAAAAAATTAAAATGAAAGTATGAAGATGAAATACCGGATTGCTATCTTAATTATATTTTTAATCAACAAAATAACACAACCTTCAGTAATTGATTTCTATGAATATGGATTATTTCAACACCACACTAAGTTTCTATTTTGTTTTTATTACTTAATTTACAAGGTAATATTCATTATCATTTTAAATGCCAAGAACAAGTGTAATGTTTTCTTCAAAACTTAAATCTAGAAAAGACTTATAACATCAAAGATGAAACAGTTTTTAAAACTTGTGGAATTTCTTTTTTTGTAACTATTGCGTCAATGGAATCTGGAGGATAAAGAAAAATGCTGAGCTAACAAGACTCTACAAGAGCACAGGTATCCTAAGGATAATTAAAGTAGGACGGCTTCTATGGGCAGGTCATATAATTAGAATGACCACCAATCAAGTTCCTGGGATGGTCCTAGAAGAAAGGATTTATGGGAAGAAGAGAAGGAAGATTTTGGCTCCAATGGATCGATGGAGTGGCAGTGGATGCCAGGTCCATCTTAGAATTCTGCAATTGGAAGGCATCGGCAACCAATAGAGAAGATTGAAGGATCAAGCTGCCGGAGGCCTTGACTCAACAGAAGTTGTAGCGCTACGGATGATGATGATGATTGTTCAGAACAAATTTTAAATGAAAAAAAAAAAAAACTGAACTACTAGAACCTATGAAGAGTCTTGGATTGAGTAGTTTATTAGGAAGTACTATTTCTAGGCCAACAGTTATGCAACAATGTAATCGGTCCATGATCACACACAACCATCAGGTTTCCCTCCTTCATTAATTCTTTAATTAACAGTACCCACTTTATAATAATAATTAATAATTATTCAGTTTATGTTAGTTATTATTGCATAATGTTTTTAAACATTAACATAAATATTTTCAATAAATTCACATATTTATTAATTAATTAATTAACTTATAATTAATTAACACATATCTTCAGTGTTAAACACTTTCAGTGAAGAGTTCATATTATAAAAATATCTCACAAGGGTACATTTGCTTTAAAAAATTTTATATATATTTTTATCACCATTCACAAAACAACTTCTTGATGGCCGATTTCAAATTGAAATATACTCCTTTAAAGCAAAAGATTATTGAAGGGAGCTGTCAATGGTGGGTGCTGGAAAAGTCTGTCCCAATCACGTAAGAGTCTCTGGAATTGGAAAGGATAGAGAAAAAATGGAGTGCTCTTCCAGAAGAACAATCTGTACCGAGAGTATAAATTCATCATATCCATTAGTATTTTATTTCAATAAAGTCAATTAGTTATCTTTTTTATTTAAATTCAATCATTAATTTTATTTATTTTGTTAATAACTGTAAGTTTGTGTTATTTTAGATTTTGAAAATTGTTTCATTTTTTCGACCTCAATAAATGATATTTTTAATCCTTGCTCACATTTACAATTCAGATGTTTTTTCAGACTCAGTAGCATATTTGAATATTTTTGCTATATTATTATACATTTGAAGTATTTTTAAAAATTTTTTTTTTCAGTTTTTATATATTTTTAATGTATACTTTGAAGGATATTTTATGTTTCTTAATCGAATATTATACATTATATTGTGTGGTGTTTTTTCTGCATGGAAATATGGGCTTTGTTTATTACACATAAAAGTCTGATATAATCAATAATTGTCAAAAAAAAAAAATAAATAATAATATTCACCTGGAGGTGTTTTTTCCAGAGACTTGGGATCATAATAATAAACAAAGTATTCATCGCTTGACTGTTGAGAATCGCTGTTTGATGAAAGAGAATCGTCTTTAGAAAGTCTTCTAGGATCGGGTTGCGGCGGTTCTTGCTTGCTTACTTCTGATTCGTCTCCGCTCGGTGATTCAGAGGCAGGCGGGTGAAGGTTGTCCCTTCTTTCAGAACACGATGAAGAAGACGATTCACTTCCTGTGAGAACCTCTAAATCCAATGGATCAAGGGGATGATTAGCTATAAAAAATAAAAACAGAAACATACTTTAACTACAAATATATACTATTATGCAGAAATAATAAGTAAAATAACATAAACATATTGTAATGCAAAAATAATGATTTTAGTATTTGTTTACAATGAGATATTTTTTAGAATTTTTTTTTTTTTTTTATGTTGGCATTATAGACCACGCAGACCTGTCTTGGGCTATTTCTTTCCGTTTATAAGCACGCAACTCTGTGGCATCATTTTTTAGAATAATGTATGTTAAATTTTAAATATAAAAGTATTTTATTGAATAATAAAACTGAATTTCAAAAATAGAAATCCAAATTTTTTTTTTTTTAACGATGAAAAAATAATAGAGTTGTAAATAAAATGTATTATTTTTAATATAATATTTATGGATTGGTTTAACAATACATAAAGATAGTTTAAAATAAACATAACCTAATTAGGGAGGTTTTAACATTTGAATAATTAATACTATTTGACTTTCCTTTACTATACTATATGTACTGTATATTTAAATTAAATTTTGCACAGACTGTAAAAAATGTTATATTTTTGAATTTCTTTCTTACTTTTGAAGTTACCAACCAACTTGTTCTGGTCTCGATTTCACTTTCAAACTTCAAAGTGGTAAAGGGCTTTATTCCAAATCTTTTTTTTTTTAAACTAGTTATAATTGTCTGTGACAAATTGTAATATTTCTGAATAAAGTGTTTTAATAGTAAAAAAAAAAGTTATAATTGAAGGGTAGGATGTAAGCATCTATAAGTTTTAAAGATGTATGGGCTTTCATTTTCTGTATTTCGTTGGTGAATTTGGTGAGGAAGCTATAACTGACCTTATTTGGCAGATGCTTTTTTAATAGATTTTAGTTCGTCAAAAATTATCATAAATAACAATATTTTAATTTTTAAAACATAAACTTTTGACAAGTATCCCATGACAACCATAGTACCTTAAAGAATTCAGCAAAAATTATGATTTATTTCAATATCAGTACATTTTAGGGCTTTAAAACAAAGGATCTAGTATAATTCCTAAGAAACCTTTGAAATACAATTTAACACATCTTGATCCACCGATTTTAAAAAGCCATCTGAGTCTTGCAATTTCTCAATTATTATGACTTTCATTTTAGTTGTTGTTTTATATGTTTCATTGTAGTAAGGTCCTAATTTTTTTAATTAGTATTTTTAACTTTTGCTTGAAAATTTCTTTTCGTTTGATCCCTCATTCGTCAAAATCCTTTGCATCTGAGAGGCGTAAAAATAATTTATACTACCATATTATATGTAGTGTTGATTTAGTGTTAATAATAATAATAACAGAAAGGAATTAATAAAGGAAGCCAATGCTCATAAATATAAACTTCAGTCGAGAAGAATGAATTTGGTACCAAAACTGTTACGAATAAAAATGAAATTACCTCTCTCATGAATATCTTCCTCCTGATTGTTTTGGTCCTGATCGTTTTCGCAAAAACCCTCGCTCGAGACTGATGATCGATTACCAGAAATAGAACTGCTGATTCCCATTGATAGTCCTATTTGAGACCTAAACAAAAAAAAAAAATATATATATATACAAGTATACAGATAAAGAAATATAATATTTAGCAATTGCTTTATTCAGAAATATAATAATATGGTAATAACTGGCTTTAAATGATAAAAAAATTATGGCCAGCAATAGAAATTAAATTTAAGTTAAAAATTTGTTTGATCTCCGCCAATTTATTCAATTAAAAACTACTTGATTAAATAAATAAATAATAAAATTATTTATTTTTTTACATGAAGTAATCTCTTCTATTTTAAATATAAATTATATGCGGCAAGAACAAAAACACCTTCAGACACTGAAAATGGGTACCTAAAACATGAAGTATTTATCTGCTGACTTTGTGGAGATAATACAAGAAAATGGGCATTTGTTTTTAAATCTATACATAAAGAAATAAGAATTGGATAGCTAAAAGGATTAATTGCTCATATATGAAAAATCATATAAGGCAAAAATATTAATTATAAATAAAAGTACTTATATGGTCATTTTAGGAGAATGATGAAATAATAATGAGTAAGGAATAATAATAATATAAAAAACACTAAGGTGAGGGTTTTTGACCACATGATAGAAGTGAAAATATCAGTAAGGTGAGATTAATAATATGAAATATAAATTATAAATAATAGCTCATTATAAAGAGAATGGAATGCTGAACAATTTCCTCACTTACTGTATGCAGGTATAATTTTTAGTTTGTGAGATATTTTAATCAATATTTTCAATAAAACTAGTTATAATTTGGTTTTTGGCACTATTTTTTCCCTTTTCGCCTCTCTAAAACAGTGTCACGTTAAGCTAAAATTTTTAATAATAGCTCATTACAAAGAGGATGTAATTATGAACACTTCCCATGCTAACAATATGCAGGTTTGATTTTTAGTTTTTGAGATATTTTAATCGATATGCAAAAACACTTTAATTAGCCAACTCCAGCCGACTTTAACCCAGCGTTACACATTGGAAATCTGACAGCTTAATCTAATTCAGTCTCCACAAAAAAAGTACAAAATGTGTCTAAAGAAGTTTTCACTCCAAAAAATAAAATGTTATTGAATAACTTTAGTTTTATTGGGCGACAACAAGATGTTGTCTGAGTGCAACCTTTTAAAACAACTATTAGTCAATTATAATTAGCTTACAAGGCACAAAGATAAGAGCAATTATAATGTAAAATATTTAATACTCTCCAGTGAAATAAGAGTAAAAATTCAATAACTATAAATAAATATAAAAAGGATTAAAAATCTTACCCCGAGACACTCAAATGGTACATGGGAAGGTTCAGATCCATCTCTAGATCGTCCAACAGCTGTTGTTTTTCCATATTCCTTCTTTGCCTGGCGTAATAATTGCAATAGTTATGATGGAGGCCTCGCTGATTAAGAACTGCTTGCGATGAGCTTATCTAAAGAGATATGTATATAGTAACCACAATCTTAATGGTAGAAAATAATCTTTGACTGAATCAGTTATTTCAGAAATGACATATATACCATTTTTGAGATAAATAAAAAATATCAACAACTAACCGTCATCATACCAGACTTATTAATGAAAGAGGAAATTTATTAATATAATAATGACCTATAGTTCTGTACCAGTACAACCCATGAAGGGTCATGGGTTCAGTACTATTTAGGGAAAACAATTTTTTGGTCAACAGTTGTGCAAGGAGGTGATTTGACCGAGAGCATGCTCAACCACCAGGTTTTCCCCATAATCAATTATTTTAATTAATAGTACCCACTTAATAGAGGCTGGGTGTCCCCCAGGAGGGTCTAGCTACTCAGGATCGCCCCATGGCCAATGAAACAGAATAAATAGTTTTACTACCATGAACAGAGATTCGAACATGAGAGCTTTAGCATTGGAAGCTCAGTACCCTACCACTGAGCTACCCCACTACCCTATAGTTCTATAACACCTAAATTTAAATGATCTGAATCTATTATCGAATCAGATCATGTTTCTACATATTTTAAAATAATAGTTTTCTTTTATACCGAAATAAACAAATAACATCATACAATGCTATGAAATGTTTCACACCTCTTAACACACCGGAATTAGAAATAATTATAAAACAAAAAAATACAGGAAGGTCTTGATAAACCAAATATGTAGATTGTATAACTGTTCGAATTATCAAAGGTTAAATTTAAAATTATAGAAAAATTGCAGCTTACAAAAATATGGTATCATCAGTTAAATACAAACACTTTGCAAAGGAAAAAATAATTTCTGAAAATGATCATTTAGTGTACGATGAGTCTGGTTTTGTAGGCTTTGGTAGTTGACTTTGTACCATTTGTCCATTCCAAGCAATTACTAAATGCTTTTATGGCGTTTCTATGACATATCTATAATGGAAAATAAAATTGGGTTAAAAGAAATTTTCCAGTGAAATAAAAATTAATATTAAAAACCTATCCCATATTTGCTTCTGAAATAATCAAACCAACCTTTACGGGCATTACAATTACAATTTTTAATTAGCCTAGTTTTAATTTTTTTCTGTTGAGACAACAATACAGTTTCGACACTACCACACGAAGCAATTACAGTAATATGTACTGGAAAACAGAGCCGTTTCCATTCTTCCTCTCGTTAATCAACTTTAACTTTTTTTTTATTCTTGTTCAGTTTACTTAGGGTTTCTGATTACCAGAGGTTCAGATTATAAAAACCATCCTGTACATTTAAATTTATCATTTTATAAAAAAGAAAAATTTAACTATTACCTCGAGAATATATCCAAACTATAATTAGATTAACACCAAACCAAATGCAAGACTTAATAAAAAAAATTAAATGTATAACTCACAGGATTAACTGGAGTATCGGCTTTCGGGTCCGCATTCTTGAAACATGTGATGGGTTGGGACAGCCATGACGCACCACCTTGATAAGTGACACCGGGGATCTGGTAGTCTTCCCAGTCCAGTTGACATGCAGAAATGGCAGGTTTGAAACCACTGAACACTTCAATACTAGATGCCAAATTCTTAGTGATCCGTTCCGTTTGGTAGGCAGTATTTGCATGGAGAGGGCGACTTTTCTCTACCTATAATCATAGATCAACAATCTATTAAAAAAATAAACAGGCTTAAAACAGTTTATCATACTTAATAATTCACGATCATATGAAAAATTACAAAAAATAAAATTATATCTACCTTATCAACAATCTTTAGATGCCATTCATTAAACTGATTACTAAATAGCGATCTTTCTTGTGGCGATAGAGCTGGATTTAGAGCAGCTAATCTCCACAGTATGACAACTTCGTCACAGAGGGAAGCACATGCATGCTGTGTTCCATGAGAATTGCTGTTCACATTGCTGTGCTTTCCACCGCTGCTCACACCGACATGAAGAGCTACCTTGGTATTGAACCACCAAACCATGATCTGAAACATAATTTGTTAATTATAAATAATAGTTTTTAGAATTTATATTTCTTAACAATCAATAAAACTTGAAAAATTCATAAATGAACTATGATAACAAAATATTATCAGAAGGTAATATAAGAACTTGAAAAAATAGAGAGTATGCTGGACTAAGAAATGAATCCTAATTGGTCACTGAAGTAGCCACTGTTGATTTAGAAGAAATTCTCACAACAGTCAGCCTACTTGTATTTAATTGAATTAATTAACAGATAGGAGGCTGAAAACGAAATGGATGGGAGACCTGCAATTTTCTTTGATACTGCATTATAGGTATTGCTCCACTTTGATGTATGGACCAAGATCATACTATAGTAGAATTCAAGAATGACCAAGTACTGACGTGCTGGGTCACTACAAACTGAATTTAAGTATGTTAAAACTCAAGTAACAAGAGTAAACTTTGTGTAGGATTTATTACCACGAGGAGGAAACTGCACATTATCATTACCTGCTGATGTGACAAGTTCAAAGGATTCAGACTTGGGTTATTTGAATTATATCGATTGATGGGTCAGAAGAACTGAGAGCTTGTCAAACCAAGTCTTCTGCGGACAGAATATGGTTCACAATAGATCTGACTAACTCGAGGTGCATTAACCCTAAAAAAAAATGATTTACAGTAAAAGTTTCTTTTACTAACTCACGATTTAAGATTTCTATAAACTCCTAACTGGTCTTATTTAGTTAAAATTGAGGCCTTACATAGCTTTAATTGCATTGCAACTTCCGCTCGCTCAAAAGGGATAAACAATCCCCCAACGGGTCCTTTGCATTTGAAGTTCTACTTTTGATAGACAGTTTGGTCCACTCTCCATCTACTTACAAACACACTCGGCCAATCTTGGAATTCCATTTATATTATGATCATGAGATCTTGGGGCCAACTATCTCGACTTTGTTCACGCTAATTGAGCAACAAAAATATTAAGGGTCTAAAAATGAGGTCACATTTTCAATTACCTGTTCACAAGCCATACATTCTTCAGTAATGATCTGCAGCAGTGGCAAAGCATTCCTGTCGCTCCTCTTGTACATTTCCCTGACGATGGAAAGTAAATTCCACATTCCCTCGGGCTCTCTCCCCCTGAGAGGCCGGAGAAGGCTCGTCCATTCGGCTGCTGCAGGTGGAGCTGTTGTACTGAGGTAGTTAACATCACTAAAAATACAAATAATAATAATAATAATTAGTGAATTCAATATGTAATAAAATAATATAAAAAGCTAATATATATAACATAACTAGTGTTTCAGAATCTCATTTTTCTACAAATGATACCAATTGCATATATTTTCAATTTTGGTTTCTTGGTGAATATAAAGTTATAACGAGAAAAAACGCAAAAAGTATCAAATTTTTCTGATGAATGTTTGCAAGGATAATTAGTTATCGAATAGGGTTAAAGAAAATGGTGGGGACGGGAAAATAAGGCTATACAATGGCCTTTCAGCACCAAACTTTATTATTGATTATCTTAATTCCCATTAGCTTATAATAGAATTTTCAGCTTCAAAACTTCAAGCCATGAAATATTTTCCATTTTTCGTTTCATCCTGTCAATAAAAGTATGTAATACAAAATGTATTTTATTATCTTTTATAAATGAATATTTACAAGTAAGAGCTGAGAGACACTTTGGCAGCTGTGTAAACACCACAATATAGACAACTCAGGCCACACCCCACCCCAGTCCAACCACAGTTCCCAAATTCACTGTTATTTCAATATTTTTTCAGATGACATATGAGTCTTTTTTCATTATTTAAAAAAAAATAATCTCAATCTTATATACATTCATTATCAATTAAATTCTATTGCAGTTCAAATTTAAAACATTTTATTTTATTTTTTTTTAGAGATATTAAAAATTTACAAAATCAAAGAATTTTACCTGAAAACTATAGGAGCAGGAACACAAAATTTTATAAGGATTTTTTTTATGTTGTCATGGAGTGTTTTCTCATCCAAATACCAAGATGTCTGTTCGTTTACTGAAGCCCCAGCAGTTGGGTCTGGAGCACCACAAACCTGTAATAATCATCAACATTTATTTTAATTTACACCAAAATATTAATAATAATAAAAGAACAATAAATAATCATCAATCCTTACGGAATTGATTGCTGATGGCTGTGAGGATAGAAGCTCATCCAGAATTCTTTGTGCTGTTGGCAAAATTTGTTGTGGAAGTTCGCTTATAAGATACTGTGCAAATTTTTGAAGTTGATCCCGATGGAGCCTTGAAAGTGATTCACTAACCGGTGCTCGTAAACAAACTTGTGTGGGCTGCAATAATATAATTGATTAAAAAGAATATTTTTATAGAATAAAAAAATTAAGTAAATTTAATATTAATTGTAATTCGATAACTAACCAGATGTATCCTGTGAAGACAAACGGCAACAATGTGTGAACACCAATAAGCACTCGAATCACAAGTGCAATTGCATGAAATTATTCTTCGCCTGTCGAATGCAACAGCAACATTATACTGTCCCCGTTGAGTATAAGAAGCCGGTAGGAGAACTGTAGCGCTTAAGTGGAATCCTAAACAAAATATTACTTTTAATAATAACTCTCTTTTTGCAAATACCTTTATATTCTTATAATGTATCAAGTAATACACAAAATAGAGATATGGTCAGATAAAAAATAAAATGTAGTACATCATTTTTAACTGATTATATTGGTCAACATGATTTACTTTTCAGAAGGTGTACTAGGTAATAGTATTTGTTCAAAATCAATAATAAAGTAGAAAATCAAAGAAGTTCTTCATCACCTACTGTCTTTGAATATTATTATATATATATTTCTTTAAATACTTTTAAAACACTTCATCCATTTTACCATTACCAAAGAAAAAATCGAGGTAGGATTAATATGAAATATAAATTTTTTTGTTTGCTCTAAATCTACAAAGTAATAACATTTACAATAGATACAACTACAATTGCTTATGTACAATTCTTTGTTCTATATTCACAAAATAATAAAATTGAAAATGTATAAAATTATAAATGTGTATAAATACTTTTATATTTGTATATAATGAAACGTCAATTAGTATAAGAAAATTATGCTCTATAGGTAATTTTATTTAATAAAACTTCTGTAACGGGAGTGAGTAATTTGTTACAACAATATGCAACAGAAAATTGAATAGAAACTTAATTTCTTATTTTTATGGCTAATCAACAAAAAAAATTGACTTCTACAAATTGTTTTCTAAATTCTCCATAGTTATTTATTGGTTCTTCTACATGGTATTTAAAGATTGAAATATTTTAGTTCTAATGTTCAAAACAGTCATTATTATTAATTTTTTTTTTTTTAATATCTTTTTCTCTTTCAGACTCTCTAACTCAGTCTCATGTTTAAATACAATTTTGAATTATAACTCATTACAAACAGGATAAAATGTATTATTAATATGAAAGCAAATAAAAGGAAATAGATCAAATAATTATAAACAATATTAAGATGAAAAAGTGATAAGTTAACACTTGAGTGATGCTTATCAACTTGAGGATCAAGAAATAATTTTTTAAAAAATATTTTAAAAAGGTTGATGACAGAGAGCTTGAGTACACTTTAAGCTGATAAGAAACGTAATTAAATCGACTTACCTATCTGGAGTGGATCTTTGACAGCTCTGGATTTGAACAAATGCTCGCCCCGTTGAAATTCATCTGCACTGGAATTGGCAAGACAGGAATAAAGACGGATATCTTCCTCATTGTCTGGAAAACTCCAGAATGCTATTCGAAGTTGAAGTTGCTCAGGAACAGGTGGATAAACATGTTCGACAAGCTCAAACGGTATATGTGACGCAACGCATCGAGCTGCCAGTTCGCATAGCTGCGGAACTCTGGGTTGTGAGCCAGGATCTATAACAAAATAAAAAAAAATAAAAATTTTGATACAGGAGTCCCTGACTTTTTTTTTATACTTTAAATAATATTGTTTTATTAATAGTCCAAGTAGAAGGTACTGATTTCCTAGGTTTGTTCATTGTTGATCACAATAAAAAAATAATATTTTCAACATATAAAAAAGTATATTGCTTATATTCTTCTATATAATAAATAATTTATAAATAAAAAAATATATGTATACACACAAGATTTAATTTTTTTAAATAAAAGATATAAATGCCGAAGATAATGAGTTTTCGTCCTTAAAAAAAATAATTTATAAATAAAAAGATGAAGATTGACTGCAAAATATTGTTAAAATGCTATCATATCAATCAATGGCTACATGTGCAAAACAACCTGTAAACTAACGATTGTTAAGTTTGAATCCAGGTGATTCCCAACTCCCTGGCCCAGAGAAAACTCTGTAGAGTCAAAAAGAGAAGGTATGAAAGAAAAAAACAACAGAAAGAGCATCAAGAAATGAAGTTCATACACCCCAAAGAATAAATATTAACACATTAATGGCGGGGGATCGACGAAACTTTCGTCATGAAAGTATGCTAGTCGAGATAAATTGTAGTACTACGACTTCCGCCTTTAATGTGTTAACTGACTGGGTTTTAATTGAACCCACAAAAAATGTTCAGATGTTTAGAATAAAATATTTTGGGAACCACGGTCCAACATGATTGACTATTGCATACTCTATTTCCAATAATAAACATAGCCACCCTAATCAAATTTGATTTTCTTTTGTCACAAACTCAATATTACTATGTTACAATTTCTATGAAAACAGAAGTTGGTGATACATCAGTGCCAAATTCTTGAGAGATGGGAGTAATTTCTTAAAGCAGAAACAAGCAACCAAAAATAACATAATATAGTCTTTTAATTTTTAATATGTATAACTTGTTTCCAGTGAAGCTTTCCATGTCATTTTTATAGGTTTTGTTCTTGGTTCTTGAATTGATACAAAATATACTGCACTAAAAAAGTTGCTCGATAATTTCTAAAAACATTGGAATACTCTAATGTACATTCATTTCAGGTTTAACTGTTTACCCGCCCATTTTTAACCACAGTTTTAAGTAATCCTAATTTCTCAAATTTTTTATGAAATTGACATTGAAATGTACTTCTTGAACCTAGGAAGAACCAAATTCTCTACCATTATCTATCAAGTAATATATATATTTTAAACTTTCTGAGTATATTTTTTTTTCAATTTTCTGTTAATTTAATTACATTTTTGTATTTTTCACAGTTTGTAAATCTGAAAAGTTGACTTCCTCACATATCCATTTAAGGATGATTCAACCGTATGAGGGCACAATGATTATTTTTTGCTAATCCTGAAGAGGTTAAAATGATAATGCATCCAATAAAAACATCTTGACAGAAAAAGGTCATTGCATAGCTATTGTTGAAATAATTCACCCATTTTTAGATGTAAATATTAAACTCTAAACAAATAATTCTGAAATTTTATTATATATAATAATAAGTGAGATAAAATGAAACTTATAATTTGAAAAAAGAAAGGAAAAAATTAATGACCCAAATTATGCTATACCATAGTCTGTAGTGAAAGCAAAATAATGAGTTAATAGTATGTAACATAGGAGGTTAACCTGTTTATCATCAGAGAATGCATTGAGGTTAAAGAATGATAAAGGAGGCACATTAGGTTAGGCAGTGATAAGGGAGGTCTTATTATATCTTTTTAATATTCCACAGTCGGTATTTTTATTTGTTTAAGCAAAAATATGAATTTTAATTTTCATATTTTTATAATATTAATTTTTTTATTTGGTGAAAAATACTGCATATATGTACTGTCTAAAGGAAAAGCCATAAAGTTAAGAATAGATAAATTTCACTTATCTTAAACCACCAATGTGGTGAAAAATGAACATCTAAGGGTGATTAGTGAAAAAAAAACCTATGAAATACCAGACAAAATTTCAAATGATGTCTCTTCAGAATTAGGAATTTCCACAATCATGGGTTTTTCCTTAAGACTAAATATAAATATTATGTAATCAAATATTGCCAGCTTCAGTCTTTTATTTTTCAATCAACAATATTACCCCAAAATAAAAATTCATAGTACATTTATTCCCCAAAATTTATTCATGGTCGAATAAAAATAGAAAACTCATGAAATCACCTTAATAGGGGCATCAATAACAACAAAAACATTGGATTTGATACATTCGGACGGTTATCAAATTCCACAGATTCCACACAAAACATCATGGTAGGATGAAATTGTGTTTACGACATTTCCAGATAAATTTGATAGATATACTGGGGGAATGCCAGTATTTTCCCAATATCCAAACCAAATTATTTAAACTGAAAGCCACAAACAAACAAAAGAGAAATTTATTTTAACTATTGCAAATCTTGATCTGTAAGTAAATTTTAGGGGATTAACAGGAAAACAAACCAAAGAGGATAACAGTGGGACACAAAGAGCAAGTTCCAAAACACAGCACTAATTCCAGCAATGTAATCCCGCACTGATGGCCAGCAATTTCTGCTGAGTTTAAGAACAGCCTGCTAGATTCCAGTGGAAGGCTAACACTCCAGGAACGTTACAAAACACATAACAATGAAAATATAGAATGAAATACCTAGCTACAGTATTTTCGAAACATTTCAAAACAGAAATAAATATAGATAGAAAGTAAACTGAGTATAAATAAATTTACTCCGAAATTTGATGGAACTTCTGAGTCATCAGTGATTCAATCAATCAATGCATAAATACTTTGAATTTCATCAATGGTTTCTGTTGATAAGATATGATTAATTTCCAATGCCATCAGTAAGCCACGTGCTGAGTTAAGAAACTTGCCCAAACTACTGAAGATTTACAGGAATACATACAGCAAATGTCTTACTAAAATGTCAAGAGATTTCATACCTCAAAATTTTCAATTTCTTAAGATTCATTTGAAATTTTCCTTTTAAGCAACTAATCACACAAAGTGTAGTAATTTAGCACCAATCATAATTATAATAAGTCAAAAACTAAAGCTTTCTAAATGTCAAATTACTATCCTCTAAAAAGCATTCAAGGAGTTTATTTTATATTTTTTTTTTCAATTTTTAATTTAAGTTACAATATGTATAAATAATAGATTAAGAGGTTTCAAAAGTTGACAATGAGATAAATTATATTTGTAAGATTTTGACGTGGCCATCAAGACCTTTCCTTCAGAATTATACTGAACTCTGTGCTTTAAAGCCCTCAAATATACCATTTTTGAGATAAATCATAATTCTTACCGAATGCCTTTTAGGTGCTATTTATCGGAGTTTTCTGTTAACTAAACATCTAGTGAAAAATTAGATACTGAAAAATAGCTCTATGATCCCTAGGACACAGAAATATATCATAGGTGATAAATATTCAGGACACAATCATTATAAAGTTTTTATGACTGCGTCCTGAATATTTATCACCCATGATATGTAGAACAGTTGACTAACTTCCTTCAATAATTCGAATAATATTGATAGAAATTTTTAATAGATAAAAAATATATCCTTGTGAGGCTTTTATACTGTCATTAATATACTTCCTTAGTAAGAGAGAGAACTATAAATCAAGCCACTTCTGTATCAAACAAATAGGTTTTGAGTGAGAACAATAATAGATTAGTTTAAGCTTAGAGATCCTATTGCTTAACTATTATACTGGAGGGAAATTTTCATCTTGTTCTTTAAACAATCGATTGAATCACCAATGGCTCAGCGGTTCTATCAGCTTTTGGATTCAATGAATCTTCTGGAAGTTATCTTATTATAACCTTACTGTTGTTATTTCTCCATTTAATTCATTTATTTATATTCAGTTTTGAACCCATTAACATGTAATAAGCTTTATACGTCTAAAGGAGAGTGCAAATACAATGAGATTTGAAGCTAGAACACTTAGGAAGGTGATGCCTCAACCTCAGGTGATATCATGCCACAATGGTCGATTGGTGGATTTTTCAATAGAGCAAGGCTCAGTGTTTGTTTCAGGGAGCTTTCCTTATCATTTTTCTTTAGGAGATAGCTTTGATTTTTTTATTTATTCATCTGTAGTTTGTTATTTGCTTGTTTAAAACTGAGAATTTTTTTTTTTAATTATAAAAAAAATATGTCGATTCCAAAACCTGAATGTCTATTACTGGTACAAAATACGCTGTCATTTCTGAAGTTTTTCATGAATAATAAACTAATTGACTGCATAGAAAAAGTTGATAAAAGACTAAATTTGTGGTCAATTAAGCCCATTTGCAAAAATCCACTGTCAGAACTCAAATTGTGGTTCACAATTATCTTGAAAAATTCTCTTAAAGCGAATATCACCATTATTTTATCCAATATTGTCAAAACTAAATAGTTTGCTTTGGAAATTCACTAGTCAATTTGTAATGCCTCCTTGAACATAGTCAATCTTTACATCTTGTTTTATTTATTTATTGTTTGTTTTATCAGGATTACTGCTAACTGTTCTTGCTGTTTTGTAATTATTTAAGTACCAGTACTAACAATATATAACCAAATGTAAATGGTATCATTTCTATAAGCTTAGGTGAGTAGAAAGATAGATAAATTAAGTTAATATTGGTAAGAACAATAATCAGAAAACGTAAACATGCTTATTAATACAATAAAATTAACATTAATAAAGAAAATAAACATAGATATATGAAAAATACATCTCTTTCCTAAAATAAAAATACCACGGAACCTTCATAGGGAAAGGATTTATCATGAGATACCTCTGGTTTGGATCTTATGGAACTACCTCAAAACAATAAGGAACTTCCTAGAAAACATAAACGTTGATATTGGAGACAGCGCAATATTGGCTGAGAATATTATTTTGGACTTTTTAGTTCTATCACTACCTGAATGGTAACTAAATGAGTAGTTGTTTATTGTTATTCAATTACTTGATTTTA